TGTTTTTCCAATATTAAGTACGGTGCACTTTCTGGTGTTGAATTTCATTTGCCATTTTCTGACCACTCCTGCAGTTTATTTAAGTATTGTGCAAGTATTGTGGAATTCTTGAGAGTAATATAAAGTGCAAAGATTAAGGAATTGTACAATGGAAGTGTGCTGACTACAGTATATGCATACTCGAAATGAGAAGCCTAGTTGTGAAGACAAACCCTGTGAACGGTGTTGTGAAAAATTAGTGATTATTAAAGAGGATTACAGTACATAAGTGTGTTTCTGTGACATGGTGGAAATCTATCTGCCCGTTGGTTGTCTGTGCACTGATACCAATCGTCGGGAAATTACCGGAAACTGGCGGGACAGCCAGTGGTAATTTGACGGCACTTGTCATATATCTACTGCGTCTGTACATATGATCTGGCCGCTGGTAACCAGTGGTGGAAGCTGGGTAAGGCGTGAAAGTAGGGTCGTAACACTGATATCAGATATGGGATAGCCTGGCAATGAGTTATTAGGCAAGATGGAAGGTGAAGGTGTCCATACCAGAAGCTAGAAAGAGCAACAAACAGCTTTGCAAGAACAGCTATAAGCACAACAAGAAGAGCAGAAACATGAAAATTCAGGAACAACTGCAGGAACAGAGAGAATAACATAAGCAACTACTGCAAGATCAGAGAGAAGAACAGAAATAACAAGTACAGCAGATGCAGGAAGAAATTGACAAGAAAATTCATGAACGGGATGAGGCTCTGCAGACTGCAAGTGATGTGTAACAGATGGAATGATGCGTTTCATGAGGTGCAAGTTGAAGTGGAAGAAAAATTTAAATAGCACAAACAAAAAGTGAGTGGTGAGATCACAGAGGTACAAGAGGAGAGAACAGTGGTGAGCAATGAGCTACAGAAAGTCAGTAGCAGGATGGAAGCTCTGGATAAGTGTCTAACAGCAGGGTATCAGTCAACATCTAGTGACCCCTATAATTGTGAAGGTGTGCGTGAAACATCGCTTGTTCACGCTCAGAGTAGAGTGAATAGTGTTAAAAAATTATGAAAATTACGATGAACATGTGGGAAGGGGAAGTGTTGAGCTGAATTATAGAGCACCTGAGTTCAGACCCCGAGCTACGACAATTGAAGTGATGAACTGGTACCACACGGTTTCATGATCTCCACACCCCAAAGTTGAGTTTTAGCTATGCAGCCAAATGTTACCCGTTTGACCTGACCTACTCGAAAACTAAGGAAGGTACTTTTGGGACTCTTGCTCCTGGACTAATAGCGGCTCATGTGTAACGCCAAGTTTATTAATATTTCTTTTACTCGTTGTTACGAGTTGGGGATTTAGAATATAGTTATACGTCTACCCAGATCCCAACAGGTAACAAAAAAAAACAAAAAAACAAAGACAATCGGACTATAAAAGGGTAGACAAAGGATGCGAGTTTTCTTTGTGTATAATAAAGTACCATAAATTCCTTAACAAAATATTCAGCTTATAAATTACCCTTAACCAAACTTAACCTAAACATTAACAGTATATACATATTAATACAACAAACCATTTTGAAGCAAGTGGACGTGGGGGAGGCAATACAAGATAAAAGTACTTGAGTGAGGAGCTGAGATGGCTGACGAGTAAGGCCGAGTATTGTAGAAGACGGTAGGTAGTCACTGCACGTAGGTTTAGAGGATAGATGATCCTGTGGTCACTTCCCAGAGCCAAGTCCTCTCTCCTCGAATTGGAGCTGACAAAGAAGACTTTGAGGAGGTGACGCAACAACCAGGATATGGAGAAGGGAAACCCCGGAGTGTTAACTAAGACGAGTCATACTCGTGTCTCGTCCCTAGATGGCGTTGCTCGTGGTGCTGGGTAGGTAGATCAGGACAATAGATGGCGTGGTTCGTAGTGCTGGGTGGAGGGGTTCGTAACACTCGTCTTAGAGGTCTTGTACCAACCTTAGTTAGACTAGTGTGAAATAAGTGACGAGACAAACGAACCTTACATATTTTCCTTTACTTACTTATTCATATGACTGTCGCAATGCAAGTGCATCTTACCATAACCTCATGCGGTTCTTGGTGCCAATACCCAGAGGACCACGTTATATCATTCTTACACGTGTTAATAGTGTACTTGTGTGAGCTCAATATGATTGTTTATATGTAAATAAGTATTTTTAATTATACTGTCACTATTCGTTTTACCTATCCTCTACTACTGTATACTAAATTGATAACTATCTAATTTAATGCTATTTCCTTGAGTACACTCCGCCTTGTCTACAGTTTTGAAACTTGTAGTTGGCAATATTGCCTAATTATTAAGTGATCATTGGAAATTCGGGACCAAATCACCATATTGCTAACTAAAGGTTTAATAGCCTTAGCAATATCCATGAAAAATACGTTTTTAATTTTTTTTTTGCCTAAGGCACCCTCAGGGCCCTGTTAGCTTGGCAAGTGGCAGGCATGTCCCTTTGTTTCTTAACTGAATTTTTATACATATTTTCTCTAAAACAAGATATAATTTACTCTAAAATCATGGCACTTTTACAATGGTAACATATCTAAGACGAGTTTATTAAGAGTTTTAAATATTAAAATAAGATGAAAAATATAGCTTGAACAATTTTAATAAAATACTTAATATAAGTAAACTGGAACAGCGCAAATTTTAATTATTAGCGAAGTAGGAATGCTGACAGGATCCTAACGCCAGTCTGTCAGTGAATGGGACAGTGCGAGTTGCCATTTTGATATAAAATCTCATGAAGGAAACGTATAGTTGTTTTCACTCTGATGGTTTTCATAATTTTAGTATTAATAACCCAAAGAGATGGTAAGATGTAGTTTGTAATATTTGATACAAGTGAATTATTAAGTGATATATTTAAAGTTTTATAAGACCCAGTTTGAAAAAGGCGAATTTCTTCACACATGTTAGGATGTTTTGTGTAATAAGTCTTAAAGACAATACTGAGTTATATAGTTTATAATTATTCATGATATAATTAACGGTCACCATGAAAGATATTACCTAATAGGAATTATTTGGAATGTTATATCTGTGAATTCATTAGCTGCTTAAATGATTCTGTGTAAAGCATTTTTCAGTGTTTGAAGTGAATTATTATTATTTATATTAGCAACTGAATATAAACATTATTTTTTGAGGTTTACGTCTTGGAGGAGATTCTGTGTAGAGCAGTTATTTACACAGTTGTAGAATGGAGCTTTTAAGATTGCTACCAGATTTAAGATTGAAGCTCTATATGCCCCAGAGGTTCCAAGTATTTTGAAAGAAACCAGTGGAAGAAGACTCGGTATAAGACTTGAAGCAAGAACTTGGAAGTTCAGCAAAGTGTGAAATTTATGTGCTAACCATAGAATGTTAATTGAAAAGTAATAACATATATAATTTTTGTTTTATTAATTTGATCGTCTGGTGAGAAATTATCACTAGATAGTGTATGTGTGTGATTGAATTTTTAATATTTATGGCTATGTATAATTACTGCAAGTAAAGAATTTCTTAAAGTCATAACCCTGTATTTGTTTTTGTTTTATTCAGATAGGGTAACTTAAAGATTTAATATTTTATAAGTTGGTGCTATCATCATTAACTACAGTACAGTATATGCCTATCGCTCAGAACTACTGTAATGCACGAGTTGTTGGTTCTGGGTAAACACAAGAAATACTCTCTGTCACGTTCGTAGAGTGATCCGGTATGTTTTTAAATAAGTTTAAAGTCCTGCTATAATAGTCGAGTTAAGTTTATTTCTCTAGAAACAGGGCCGCCATTTGCAATGAGGTCACCACATTCCCCGCAGACAATGTTTTCCAACAAACTCATCGCTGCAGTCGGAGGTAGTACAAGGGATGGCCTCTTCAGATCCCAAATGCCAAGTTCAGGTAATTTTAAGGGTGATTTTTTTATGGTCTAAGTCATGGACATCTCGTAAGTGAAGAAATGTGCCGTAAAGAGAAGGTTATGGACATAAAAAACAGCTCATCTGTCATGTATTCTTACCTGGGAGACTTTCTCTGTTTTTTTTTCCAGTGCACTTACAGAGTATATCAGTACTAGATGGAGATACGAGTCAATTTAGTTGTAATGACAATGTCTGGACTTTTTGAGAATGCCTGTTGCTAGGTAAACCTGACAGCATAGAGCTGTTTTTGTTTTGATGATACATAATTTTTATTAATTAATGGGTAAAATTTTACTTTAACTATCCTAAGTATTTGGATGCTTAGATTCGAGATAGGCTATATTGGGTAAATTTAAAATTTTGGTCATCCCTGTACTTAAATATGCAGACTGTGTTTTTTCTAATGGTTTGAGATGTGTTATGAACGGTTTAGACCTTCTTTTCCATCGGAAATCACTAGGTTTAAATTACTACCCCCCCCCCTCCATACCTGTGTGCCTTAAGCTAGTCTTATAACTTATAATATAACTTATCATACCCCTAACCCAGTGGTTCTCAACCTTTTCACTCCATTCCCCTTGAGGAATTTTCAACATCCTCGTGGCCTCTTTCATTTTTCTCCCAACCCCCAATAATGTTGAAAAATAAAATGCAGATGAAGAGAATACCCTTATTTTATTTCAAGGTTGACAATAATCATTATCTTATATTTTGATAGACTTACATGATTTACATAACTGACGTCACTAGACTAGAGTGACAAGCCTCACAGAAAACTTGAAATTGGTTGGGAAAAAGTTCATATGACCTCTGCATATTTTGTCACAGCTCAATGGGAAGGCTGACATTGTTTCCTTTCAGTCAGGTGACTGATCCGAGGTTGTGTCACTGACAATGCACATCTCATGTCTGGGTCCACATCCAGTCGGTTCCGGCTTTTACTCTTTATATGTAAAAGGGTGGAGAAACCAGATTCGCATAAATAGGTAGTTGAAAAAGGGAAGAGGACTCGAAGTGCTATCTCGCTAACTTTTGGATATGACTGATACATTGAGGACCAGAATACAGTCAGAGATCTTTCTTCATAGAGATCTTTGGCAGCAGAATCATTCTTGAGATCAAGAAATTCGTCCTGAACATCATTTGGAATGGTAGCAATATCAAGAGTGCCAGAGAAAGGATTCCTCACCAATTTCCCATCTTCCTCCTCGAAATCTGGGAAATACTTTTTGAGCTCACTTTCCAAGGATTTCAGGTGCTGAGTGATTTCAATTTTGAGTGATGGATAAAGCAGATGATCTTCATTCTCATCAAGAACAGTTGAAAGATTCTCAAACATGGCAACATTTCCTGCTTTGACTTTCCTTTGCCAATTCTAGAGCTTGGCAAGAAATGCACGAAGACAATCCATGAGGTGAAACACATTTCTGTCCTTGCCCTGCAGCTTGAGATACAGCCTGTTTGGCTGCTCAAATATATCTGCTAAATATGCAAGACGTGGCTCCCACAATACCTCATTGAGGTGACTTAATAGATCATCTTTCCCTTGCACTTCCAGGAACAACTTAAGCTCTCCCCGAAGTTCAAACACTCGATTCACAACATTGCCCTTGGAAAGCCAGCGCACTTTGGAGTAAAAGAGGAGGGCTTCATGCTCTGAATCCATGTGTCTACAAAGGTTCTGGAAAAAGCTAGAGTTCAGGTCTCCAGCTTTCATAAAGTTGACACATTTGACCACTGCCTCCAGAATCTTGCGAAGTTCATCAGGGAGGGTTTTCGACGCCAGTGCAAAACGATGGATCATTCAATGGATCCCTTTGACACGCTTCCGGAACCCCGATTTTGATCCCAGCATCGCCGGAGCCCCATCCGTACAGACTCCACAACAATTTCCCAGCTGATCCTGTTAGCTGTGAAGAAAGAAGACAGCTTTTCCATCACATCTACAGCTGTTGTGGTGGTCTCAAGCTGTGTACAGAACAGATATTCCTCCTTGATGTCACACAAGAAAACATACCTAACAAACACGAGTAGCTGTGCACAAGAACTCACGTCCGTTGACTCATCCAGCTGTATTGCAAACATACCAGTTGGAGATAATTTGATCCCCTGTATCACTTTTTCCTTTTCGTCATCTGGCATTTCATTAATTCTCCGTTTCACTGTATAGTTTGACAAGGAAATTTGTTAAATTTAACGTTCACTTGCCTCTCCAAGAACCCGTTTGACCATTTTTAAAGCACATGGCTTAATTAAAGTTTCACTAATTGTATGGGGCTTCTTTTGCTTTGCTATTTCGAGGGAAACCTCGTATGATGCCTCAACTACACTTACGGTCTGTTGTTGGAAAGCACCACTCTCGTCCAGTTTCTGTTTTCCCAAACTCCGTTCATGGCGCCTGAAGAAATCGGTGTCTCTCTCCGCATACTGTGGATGGATCGTCATCAGATGATGCTTCAGCTTACTCGGCCTCATAGAATTGTTCCCCAGCACTTTGAAGCGCAGCACACACTGATGTTTCTCAATGCCATCAGTGAGGATTGATGTAAATCCGTAGTTAATGTATCCATCGATGTACTTCCGCTTCTTAGCAACACTAGTAGCCATCACAAATCTAGAGAAAATAATGAAGACAGAATGTCAGAACAGACAAACAGACAAGTGATAAAGACTAAAGAATGATAAAGAAGGATAGATAAATAGGACAAGAGTTAGAATGGCAAACACACACACACACATTGACATACATAACACGCCCATGAACTCTCACATAAAGCACACATACAGTCATACACAAACATGCGCACAGGTAAGCATTCACACTCAAGCTAGCAAGCTGAAGTGTGCTTCCTGTAAGCAAGAACACGCCTCCTTTGACAAGCAGTGCCCAACTTGGAAGAATAATAAGAATAGTGAGTCATACCAATTTGGCACTAAAAAGGGTAGGATTATATAAGTAAAGAATGAGTATGAACAACAATTGCACCAATAAATAAGGAAATAATTAATAAAGGAAGTGTACAGATATTTCACCCACGTAAAGCAGCGACCACATGAATTATGAAACAAAATAAGTAACACCAATTACGGAGTATATTATGCTTGAGTCAAGCTCAAACACAATATATGGTTCAGAGACAATACACTCCACTGTTTTCGTGATGTTATCCCATGCCAGACTGAGATAATTCGGTCCTATCACCACTTGCAAAGGGATGACATACGGACACGTACTGAACAAGTCAGTTCAGCAGCTCGGTCCAGCGCCTGTCACACAGACAGGGACTGGACCTGTGAAATCTTAAATAGTCCGTAAAAAAAAAATATATATATCACCAGAGTATGTAAATATTAAATTTGTATTGTCGTTATGATTTAACAAAATGACAAAAAAAGAATGAAAATTCTCTTCTGCCAAGTCAAAATAAGTAATACAAGTTTTGTTTAAATCAGATTCCCAACATTATTTGGAAACGTACAATTTATAGCAGCTCGCCGTGGCTCCCTTGGGGGCCGTGGCCCCCAGGTTGAGAACCACTGCCCTAACCTAACCTAACTCATGATTTGAATTTTCTTATGCGATAGAGAAATATTTTGCGACATAAATCCCGTAGAGATAATGTGTCTTATTGTTTAAAGTACTTAGTCCCATAGTTAGAATCTTAAGGTTCCCCAGATGACCAAAACCAAAATAATAACAATATTGTTTGGAATGTTTATACTGCGAAATTTGGAGTAGAGGCAGCAAATATCCATAGTATTACTGTGTTGTACAGTAAAGCACAATTAATTATCTAATAATATTTACTTACAGAGCCGTTCAGCCGAGAAAGTTGGACAACTACTTCCATAGCAAGGTAGATGAAAAAAAAAATACCCAAAGCAGATGTCTTTATGACTGTAGAGTATTATTAAGAACTCGGCCATCCAGCTATGAAGCACGTTAAATTACGTCTGTCATCTGATCATCTCAAGCCCATCCGCTGGCCATGGTCGTCCCTAGTCCACCCAAAACAATAAATATAGACATCAATGACGAAAATTGTCTAGGTATAATAATAGCAACATAGCAAAATAAGTGAGACTCAGCTCCCAAACGAGGGTAAACTAACAGAACGGGGTAACGGATATATCTTCTACTGGGAGGGTAACTCTGCTGTGGAGAGAAACTGCATTCATGAAGTTGGCTTTTCCATTTGCCAATCCATCCTACATAGGCTAACTGAAATGCCTATTGGGATCAACAAGTGCCTCATGACGTTCCGAGTACCACTGTATTACTCATGCCATGCCTTCTTCATCAGTGCATATACCCCAACACTGGAAGCAGAGGATGACATCAAGGAGACCTTTTACGCCAATCTTAACTGAGTGCTAACCTTTATCCCCAGAGAAGATAAGATTGTGCTCCTGGGTGACTTCAATGCCAGAATTAGCAGACACTGACATATGGCAGGAAACCATAGGAAGAAACGGAGAGGGCAAGTGTAATCCCAATGGCCTACCCTTCCTCAGCAACTGTACTGAGCACAACCACTCTATCATCAACACCTTGTTTAAGGTATTCAGATAAGTTCAAGGGTTCTTGGCAACATCCACGAATTAAACATTAACAACTAAACCGACGATAACTCCCTATTTAAAGACGAAAACGGAATACGTTAGCACTGGAAAGAACACTGCCATTCGCCGCTTAACCGAAATAACGATGTGGATGTCCTGACTACCCAGTTGGTCCCTTTGCATTCAGAACCGACCCACCTCAGCTATCCTTCATCCCTGGATGATATAGCTACAGTACTGCCATAAACCAGATGAAAAATAACAAAGCCACAGGGTGTGATGGAATCCCTGCCGAGGTTGTTACGACCCTAGGGTAGATCGTTACATAAACACGATTCACTGAAGTCTTTCAAATATATCAGTATTATTTATTATATTATTAATCCCCAGTTCCCCCAACAAAGGTCAAGTTAACAGGTCAAAACTTAAACAAGTCAATAAATATATAAACTTTTAATAACTTAATCCCATCATCACATATGTACACAAAATAAAATAAATCACACAAAATCAATATCCAGCAATAATAAATCTCAATGATCAAATGCCAACTCCCAAAACACCAGTGACTGACAACAGTGTACCAGCCAAAGATATTCTACTCAAGATAGGCGGCGGCGGAGTCATTAGTTATGAGGTAAAAGAAGAATATTAGGGGTTGAAGAAAATGTGGTGAAACTGAAATACAGTAGGAGGAAGAAGGATCTGGGCTCAACTAGATCGCTTCATCTTTCCTATTGGTGTTTTATCTTTGTTCTGCTCCCTTGGGTCGTCAGACCTTTGAATTAATATTGGTTTATTTATATAGTCCTGCTTATTATCATTATTATTTTTTTTTATATACTGCGATGAAGTTAGTGAGCCCGCCCAGGTCCTTGTGTAGCTGGGAGGGTAGTCACATTTTTTTTTTTTTTTTTTTTGCTAAGGTGTTGGTTAAATGTTAAGTGTGTTAGTCTAAAAGTACACTGTATGGAGAGGCCTGCCAGGTTCTTAGTAGAACTGGTAGGTCACACTCATTTTTTAGTCTCTCTATTAATGATTTATGTGTGTATTGGGGAAGGAGGTGGTTTAATTACTTTCTTCCTGGCTGATTTAAACCAACTGTGTTCTTGAAATTCTTCATTATCTATATTATTTATCCAGTTTTGGTAAGCTTCTGTGTGGAGTTCAGTCACTTTGTTCCAAATATTTGCTGCTTTGTTGTGTATTTCTACATTGATTGCTAGGAGGTTTGCTCTCTTGTGTAGCTGCTCATTATTGATGTGGTCAGTATATTTTATGTGATAAATAAATCTGAGAGTTATATTTTGTACTGTTTGTAACCTTTTAATGCTCGTTTTACTAAGGGTGTTCAATGCGATGGGTGGGTAGTCCATAATTGATTTGACAAGGGCCATATATATCTTTCTTTTGTTATTTATGCTAAGGTTCTTAAAACGTTTTATTTTTGATAATCTTATTCTTGCCTGTCGTTCTGTATCTTTTATGTACGTTATATATCCTCTTTTTGTTAGTTTTAGTCCAAGCACTCTGCCTTCAGCGTTGTATGGGTATAGTTCCTGGTCGACTATTACTGGACTTGTTTTGATCTTGGCTATTGGTATTATCTTGAATTTGTTCTTATTTGTCCTGATTTTCCATTTTTTCTCAAAGTCATTTATATTTTATATCGCTCTTACCATGTAGAGTGCCATAAATTGGGTTGATTTTCCTGGGTATGATACTATTTGAGTAATATTATCAGCAAACATTACATATTCGCTAAAGGGGGTGGGTTGAGGTGTGTCTGAGGTATAAATTGTATATAGTGTTGGAGAAAGGCATCCTCCTTGAGGTACTCCACTCTAAGGATTAAACATAGTTCCCCTAAGGTTTCCAATTTGATTTTGTGCTCTCCTATCATCTAAATAGTTACACAATATTCTTAGCAAGTGTTCGTTAAGTCCCAATTATAATATTTTATATTTTAAGCCTAAATGCCAAACTTTATCAAACGCCTTAGAAACGTCCCTTAAAATTATATTGATCTGGTTCCCCTTGCTTTTTTCTATTGCAATTATTTCCGATATTGTAGCTATTGCAGTTAGGGTATTTCTATTGGGCATAAATCCATGTTGTCTATTGTCAGTTTTCCCCTGTTGAGTTTAAAAGGTTACAAGTCTTGAATTTATTTTTTTTCCAGTAGTTTCCCGGTAATTTCTAATAAAGATATTGTCCTGTAGTTTAATATTTCCTTATTGTCCTTACCCTCCTTGGGAATAAATATCGTCTTAGCATATTTTAGATTGTCTGGAAAGTAACCGGTTATTAAGCATGCGCTATAAAAGTTTAATAGTGTTTTTAAGATGTTTTGAGGTAGATTTATGATCATATTTCGTGTAATACCTTTTCCTTAAACTTGCTCAGACAGTGCATCATTTCTCCCATGGTTATTATTTGATTATTAGGTAGTAAGTTATAGTCTATATATTGCTTTGGGGTGATTCTATGTATGTGTCTTCCCATTTCGTCTTCTATCCTTTCTTCGTGATCACTATTAAAATCTTAATTTTCCTCATCTGATATTTTAAAAACTTTTACCCATTCCCTTTTGAATGCTGACTCTTATTCATTTTCCTCGAACAGTTTTGTTCCATTTTGGTCTTTAATGTATGGTGTTTTTTGTTTGTTGTGCCCCATCATCTTGTTTATGGAAGTCCAAAATGTTTTAGTGTCTTTAGTCTTGTCGGCCGCCATTATAATATCATTCCATTTTTTGTTGCTTGCTTCCTTACATGCGTCTCTTAATTTTATCTGTAGTGCTGTCTGCGTCGTATATAGCCATCTGTTACTACCGTGTCTTTCCATGTACCTGTTTATTTCATTGTAATGGGTTTGGATTAATTTAACTTCTTTTGTTAGTCTGTTGTTGGGTAATGTTTTAAAGTGTGAAGTAGGAGTGTGTTTGGTTATAGATATTTTTATTGCTGAGTGCATGTCTGTCCATTTCTGATTCTATGTCTTCCGTTGTTTTCCCTTGTAGGTTAATCGAATGGTGATTACCT